ACATTCTTGGCAGAAAAATATTTCTCTAATTAATATTTTCATTTATTATAAATATTTGTACAAATTTAAGTGAAACAAATTAATGATAACGCTCAATAAACTATTTTTCGAGTTGAAATTTCGAAATCTGTTCAATAAAATTCAACCTTGCGTATTTTTCAGTGGGTTTTGTGTATTTAGAATATTTATATCGATTGATTGGTACTGAATGAATGTGTGCACACATAGCAAAAGCTGCATTCATCTGAATGCTTATTCAGTGTTAAAAGTTAATGTTTCGTCATTCAGTTTTTTCAATCTTTCTTTGAATATGTTAATGTGTGCAATCGTATCTACTTTGAGTGAATGTAGAATTGGAAAATTATAAGCCACATTCCCCAACAAGGAAAAATTCAATGAAAACATAATAGCATAAAATTGATGATTTTTAATTTCAAATGATTTCACAGTTTTACAGCTCTGGAACATAGCAATATTTCAGCCTTATTTGCGTTCATTACATTTTCAATGAAGTCTTAAAAAAGTCGGTTACTACTTTCTGACTTTTTATGATGGTACAGCTTTTTTGGTGCTTTTGCGAGCGTGCGCGTTGCAATAGATCAGCTCTTCCTGATTTGGCTCTACTTAATATGCAATTGCAAACATTCCAATAAGCCTCGTAACCCCAAGTTCTACTAAATCAGCCTTTGAACGCGGGATCCTTAGTCGAAGAATCCAAAAAAGTGAGCGTACGCTTGGCTTGCATCGTATTAAAGACATTTTTGTCCAAAGGATAAATATATTTTGAAGAAGCTACTGCAAAAAACAAAGCCTGTATAAGAAACAAGTCTTCGTTCGTTGGATGTTTTCTCAGTAATGGTAGCAGTTACTATTTGAAGTGCCGCCAGAGTGTATTTATTCGTATTCACACGGTTGCATTCGTTATGTACTAAAACTATCGTGACTTACAACTAGTTATCCTAACCATACGTTTACAATTATTGAGCTTACAACTCGGCTAGCCTGACGACAGATCGTCCTCGATCTAAATATGATATGTTAAGAGATTTGCTACAGTATTTATTATAGTACTTATTTACAATATTTACACATAATTTTTTTTTTGACATAACAGTTATGTTAACAGTTTCGTTATAATAGACTGGGAAATTGCATCTCAGCTCGGCCAACCTGACAGTTGATCGCCTCGATCTACATAAACAGTATAAAACAATTTTTCACAGTATTCTGTTGGCACATAAATTAAGTTCAGTGTAAGTTTACATATTATTATTATTATCATAACTTTTTTTTTTTTTTTTTACAGAGTATGTTCTTCATCGGCTGGGATAGTATCTTTATTATGTGGTAACAACCATTTCCTCATTCTGCTAGCCTCAATAACACCATCATACGGAAGTTGAGTTAGCTGGCAAATTGTCTATATCGCGTATTACGTACCTATCATTTCCCAGCACTCTGTGCACTGTATACGGACCTTTATAGCTTGGTATAAATTTTTTATTAGTCCCAATTTCGGTATTAACATTACGTACCGCGACAAAATTCCCCACCTTGTATTTCTCTACGTCCCTACTATGCTTCAAAAAGTAGTTAAGGTTGTACTCCTGCGACTTATTTATGGATTCTGCGGCATTTGAGCGCATCTGCTGAAGATCACCCTGCTGTACTTGAATTTTGTCGTCAAGATATTCTGTTAGTTCATCTATTACTTCTCCCCTCTGTTCTACTCCGGATAGCAACATACTAGGGGTATATTTTGTCGACTTGTGTACGGAGTTGTTAATTGCGTATTCCACACTCAGAAGCTTATTCGACCAGTCTTCATGATTTATAGCATCACATAATTTCCCTAGCATTGATTTTATTACTCGATTGGCCCTTTCAACCTACCCATTCGCCTAGGGTGATGCAACCGCTACCTTAACATGTGTTATATTTCTTTTTAACAAAAATTGCGAGAATT